AAACGACTTGCCCTTATCTCTCGGGATCGAATTCCGTAGAGATGATTTTCCATTGAAACCCGACTGAAGGCTAAAGTACCAGAATTATAAAAACTAGAAAAAGTTATTTATAAAAGCCACTCTTATTTACATGCATATGTATGTATGTACTTACATACAGTAACGAGCAAAAATGGTGGAATGATGATTACTTTTGAAAATTCATAATGGTTTTAAAATTAAATTTTATATTTTTACTTTTTTAAATTCGCATTGGCTTTTTGTAGTTTCTTTTGGGAACGGCCTTCAGCATTTACTTCCACAAAATATTCGAGTATATGTATGTATTTGCAAAAACTACAATTGACCCTTCAGCTGAAATAAAATGTTAAAAATTAACGCGAGTTTTTAGCTGCTTCAAACTTGCACTTTATCACTTAAATTTTATGGGCTATAACTGCACTTTTAATCAGAATCTTTAGAAAAATTTTGATATGCAGTCTTGTAGCTCATTTAATTCTAGTCTAATGAAGTGCAAGTTTTAAGCTGCTCAAAAATACCTTTAATTTTTAGCAATTTTTTTCGCTGGCCTTTATATAAAAGAAAATCGTCGAACACACTTTGTGTGGAAAAAACGTGAAACCTCTTCAACCAAAACAATTCTCAGAAATCAACGGGATTTTTCACCAACTTGAAACGTGCACTAGAATTAAACGGGCTACAAAACTGTTACAAAAACAAGTAAAGAAGTATAAGTTCGGGCGAAACCGAACATTATATCGTCGGTCCCTACGAAGACTAGCACATTTCACTATTCGCGTGGAAGACTAGCACGTTTCATTATTCGCGTGGAAGACTAGCACATTTCATTATTCGCGTCGAAAAGTAGCACATTTCAGATTTTTGCGTGGAAGACTAGCACATTTCACTATTCGCGTGGAAGACTAGCACGTTTCATTATTCGCGTCGAAGAGTAGCACATTTCAGGTTTTTGCGTGGAAGACTAGCACATTTCAGATTTTTGCGTGGAAGAGTAGCACATTTAAGGTTTAAAATAAATCATAAAGGCATAATTTATATTGGAAATCAAGTGCTTATTTTATATTTCTATAATTGTATTATAAAATTCATGAAATTCAGGCGGTATAAAGCGTTTAGTGATCATTTGATGGAGGTCATCCACTTTTGTTTTTTTAATTTTCCCCTTTAAGCTTTATGCAATCCATATTGTTTTATGGTTAACCATTGAAAATTTGTTTGCAGTATGTTCAATTTCAATTAAAATAAAGTTCATTTAAAAAAAACATGTAAACCCACGCTAAATAAATTTTGTAGAAATCAAACAAAAAATCAACTAATTTTCATTCAAATTTCCAATTTATTTACTCAGAAGTGTTACGATTTTTTGGAGTATGAAGCTTTATAGCAGATTTAATTTTAGCGTGATAATGTGCAAGTTTAAAGAGCCTTAAAGCCTTTGATTTGTTTTTGTCGCATTTGCTGCCATATAACGAATAAATACAATTTATTTTTATATGGAATAAAACCGAAAAAACGGAAATTTTTAGCCACTTGAAACTTGCACATTATTGCAATAAAATTGAAAGGACTTTAAATCTATATACCAAGGCACATTAAACAGGTAGTATCAGTAGAGCAAAAACAACATTTGCGTGTATTTTGTTGTTGCTTCTGGTATCGAAAGTGTCAAAAACTGTTCTGAATTTTTTCTTCTAAATCAAAGCGTGCCATGTGAAATACAAAAAATTATAAAAAATAAAAAATTGAAATTGGAAAAAATAAAAATTGATGCAACTTTCTTTCTTAGTAAATTTGTTTGCTTCTCGAAGCATTGATCCATGCTTTGCAAGGCCCAGTAATCAGCGGTCGTGCTGCCGAGTTGCGCGAACGTTCCAAAAGCTGCTATTCAACCGCTTGTTTTGTATGGGAAAAGGTTTCACATGCAAATGGATTTTAACAATTCAGAATTTTTGTGAGAAAAAATTAAAAATATTTGACATTTTCGAGACCAAATAATTGAAAATAAATCAAATCAGCTGCTCTACTGATACTACCTGTTCAATGTACCTTGCTATATACTCAAAAAATTCTGAGAAAATAATTTTGACATTTATATGAACATTTTTAAATTTTTTTAGTTTTCTACAAAGTTTTAAATTTGTGTTTATATAGATTTCTTCAGAGAATGAACTTTATTTTAATGAAAATTCTTAAAAATAAATAAATAAACATAAGTAGAAAACAATATCACTTTGAAATGAGGTGCTCTTGATATGACTGCATGTACATTAGGCTGGTCCAAAAACAGTAAAGTCGAAATTGTAATGCTTTCACTCCCCAGGATTGTTCTATATAGAAAAAAAGTGTACCCCTATTTATTTTTTTTTTTTAAATCAAAAAATATTTGGAGGTCGCTCAAAGCGCTCAAAGGTTTCCATGTATTTTTGTATGGAAAAAAAACATATTTTCATAGAAATGGTATAGAATTCTTGAAAATCAAAAATTTTCGATCGGAAAACTCTGGTTCTCTTCAGGAGACTTCCAATAATAATACCCAACTCTTTATTTAACCATTTTTTTATACTAAAGATTTTTATTTGTCCCCCTACTGAATTTTTCGGGGTGTTTGTGGGTTTTTGGCGGACCTACAAATTATAGTTGCGATGAAAAAATGGTTAAATAAACAATTGGGTATTATTATTGGGAATCCTGCAGACGAAAAGAAAAATATTAGTTTTTTTGGAAAGTTGAAGTGGATGTTGGAAAACTTTGGGCGCTTTGAGCAACCTCTAAATATGTTTTGATTTCAAAATAAAAAAAAATAGGGGTATATTTTTTTCGGTATAGAATCCTAGGGGGTGAGAGCATAAAGATTCCGACTTTACTTTTTCACATGCATTTTTGGACCACCCTAATGTGCATATATGTTTCTCGTAATTATAAATAGATTCCCCCCATAGGAATATCGATAGTGTCGATAATTGAAAACTGTCCCCACTATCGATAGTTTTTGAAAACAATCTATGTCGGTTTTAGCAAAACCTCTCTTTACATCTCTTAACATTACATTAATTTTTTTTCATCCAAGAAAATTCACAAAACATTCGGCAAACAAAAATTTTTAGTTATTGAAATTTTTAGCAACTATAAGCTTACACTGATTTATAGTAAAATTTAATACGCTAAAAAACCGCGTACACAAAATTTTTATAGAAATTCGAATTAAAAATCTTGAAATTTTAATAATTTTGTAGTTTTTTATGTTTTGTACAAATTTTAAAATAGTCAAAACTGCTAAAAATGTTGTGGTGCTATTATTTTGACCAGTACTTTATTCGTTTTCTTATAATATGGTAAAACGTTAATAATTTCCGTTGTCCGGATTTTGATTTGCGCCTCCGTATTTGATCTCAGTTGAACTTTTATAAGTATGACTTGTCAATTTAAACGAATATCTTTTGTTTTGTTTGTTTTGTAGTATTAGAAATGTGTTATTATAGACAATTTCACTTTGCACTTCAAAAGGGACAAACATATGTATGTATATATAATGCAGACGCATACATTAACAAGTTTTTTTTTATAATTATAGAAAGTTATTTTTGATGCACTCAAATTTAAAAAAATTTATATAATCTCTTTAATTTACAAAGTAATTTATAAATTTATTAATTATTTAATTTTCGATCAATTTAGCATTTCAATTCAATATCTCTCACGACGATAGTACTATCGATACTATCGATGTTTTCAACTATCGTTTCGAAAACTATCGAGTGGCGGTACTATCGATAGTATCCCAGCTCTAAAAAAGACTCCGATTAAAAAATTTGAAATTTTGGGGAAAATTTGCAGCCTAGTACAAAGTTTGAAATTATCTGTTATGGTTATTTATGGCCTTATAACAATTATATTCAAAAATTTTTATTGACCTTGAGGCCGTTTTTAATGAAAAACTATTGTGGAAAAGCAACAATTTGAAAAAATGGTAGAAGTGATAGCTATTAAAAACGGCCTCAAGCTTTACTTTTTATTCTGTGTTCGTATGGAACAGTAGCTTATGTCGAAAGGCTGGCTTTAGTATAATGCTGCATTCGCAGCATACGATTGCGAATGACTCACTGTCGCCGAGCCATTGAAGAACTTTTGGCAAATAAACGTGCAGAAATAGCTCCCATACTAGCAAGTCCATATTCTTATTATGTCTCATCAAAAAATTCCTTGTCGTTTAAAGAATAAAGCGAATGCAGCATTATACTAAAGCCAGCCTTTTGGCTAAGCTACTGTTCAATACGAACACAGAATTATAACACAATTCCCTGATCTTTGGAAACATCCCTCGTACATTGTACAAACGATGGTCTGATATAGGCTTTAGATGAGCCATCGCACCAGTTCGAAACATTCTGCTTTTCTTGTAGGGATATATGTATGCATTGCATATATGTACATATTTGTGCATACTTAATTAAAAATATACCACCGTTCAACATGCAAAAAGAACACACACATAAGACACATATAAAAATACGTAAATAAACTTTTATGACTCATTTA